TTGTGTTATTTATGTTAAAAGGTATGGTACAAAGAAAATGTTTGTTTACTTTTACTTACTTTATTTACTTAACCAAACTGACGTAGACCTGCAAACACTAGGCAATCAGAACATGCACTTTTTGTTTTAATTAAACTGTTCTACTGAGTCTTGGAAGTCAGGGAACAAAGAAAATAATCATACTCCATCACACAAAACAAAAAACTATTCAAATTTTATCTCAAAAGCTATATTTTGGCCTTTTCCAAAATATGGTTAGAGTAGAGCTAGGTTGACTTAATCTGTGATGACTTCTTAAACATTTTTCCAATTTTTTGCAATTATTCATATCTAACTTGTTAATAATAATAACAAAAATAATTTCAGAGTTAACATGTTATAGCAAAACAGCACTGAGCATAGCTTTATAACTAATCAGTTATGATTTTATCTTGCACAAACTTGACTTGAGCTCAAAGACAGGCTGTCCAATTTTTTTTCTTTTAAATAAATAACGCTGTTCAATCTTTTGTTCACACTTGCGCTTGATATTCAAGTCGGCTTCTTTCAAACGATGCAGGTTTCATTCTAATTTGCTTTGCCCATGATGTTCTTTCTTTGGGTTTTTCGGCCTCATAATTAACTGTCTGCTCTTGTTGTGACTGAGAGAATAGCTCTGTATCCATCAGAGGCTCCGTATTTCTCTCACTTAAATTACACTTGTTGGAGGACCAGTGCCTCCGAAGGTAGAACCTATTTGACACTGTTCCTTAAAACTAGTTAAATGTTAACTCTAGGTGACACACCCATGTCATGTGGAAGGGCTTCTCAGAACAATCCCAAGTGCCCTTTGATGCACTCATAGCATGATAATGTAGAATGGACACCAAGCTCGAAACCTCTTTGTCCGGTTCATGTTGTGGTTCTTGGTCCTTTTGAACCTGCATTTTGTGTTTCTTGTGTTTTTTATGACCTTTTGTGTTATGGTTTATTATTCTTAGTGGGAATCCTGAGTTTATTCAATGTTAACCTATGTACCTTTATTCTCCCCTCATGTCTTTGTGTTTAGGTGTGTTAGTCCTTGTGCCTTATCTCCATTTTCTGTGCCCATGTTCCCTTCCTTGTGTGTGTCATTCCATGTTTCTATGTTTATCTCCTTAGACCTTCTTGTTTTCCCGAGCATTTGTGTCCTCCCAGTCTGTTGGGGAGTAACAGAATACATGTACCGGCGTTACGTATTTAAAATACAAAATATGAGTAACTGTATTCCGTTACAGTTACCGTTTAAAAAGGTGGTATTCAGAATACAGTTACTTTGTTGAAATAAATGGATTACACAGTGGTCTTATCCTGTTTCATATGTTAGGCTGTCCCCTCTCTATTTTTGGTAATTCCAGACCGATGGAAACTCAAACAAAACACGCATTAAGAGGCTCTAATGCCTGTGTCTCAATCTTGCGGCTCATGTCACCTCTACTTGCGGCCCGCATGAAGAAATATTATTAAAAATTATTATTCAAAAAATGATTTAATATGAAGGCAATAGGCAGAGTGTTACAGGCATAACCCTAAAGTATGTAGCCTCATGGGCAGTGTAGTCCATGCTGCAGGGAGAATGGACTGCCATACCCGTCATGTATCTGTGAGCGCCAGGGAGGGAGAAAAAGAACAGTCGAAAATTAAGAGTTGTCACCAACCAGAAACGGTAGATGGAAACATGTAAATATAATAATAACCACTGCAGCCAAAAAGAGTGCCTGACGAGCCCAGTTGTAAGTAAGCTATTAAGACTTGACTGCACACTGTGTTCGTGTTTTCCTCCAATACAATACGTTCTGTTGGAGCAGCCTTTCAACACCTCTCTCTGTCTCTCGTTCGCAAAGTTGACCCAGACAACAAAGTAAACCTAGTTTTCGGTTATGAGCCCGACACGGTACCCAACGTATTAGCCAGAGGGCCCTTTACTATGGTTAGGAGCCGCGGACCTGTTTTATATATATTATTATTATATTTTATATTTGTATTATATATCTTTGTTGATCTAGAAAAAGCATATTATAGGGTGCTAAGAGAGGAACTTTGGTGCTGCATAGGAAGATCAGGGGTGGCAGAGTAGTATGTGAGGGTGGTGGCAGACATGTATGAGCACAGGTAGACAGTTGTTGTCATGGTCCTGGGTCGGTGACCCAGCGCTTTTAGTTTGTTATCATTTTCTAGATGATTGTTTAGGTTCTGTGTTATATTCGGTCTGCCTCTGAGTCTGCGTCTGTATCTGTCTGTCTATGGTGTCACCCCATCTGTTTGTGAATCTGTCTGTTTAGTTCAATGTCTTGTCTGGTTCCATGTGTCTGAGTTTCCTGTTTTATTGTGAAGGTCCGTGTCGTATGTGAGTGTGATCAGTTTACGTTTCCCCTGTCCCGTCAGCCCAGATTCCTCCCAGCTGTGTTGCCCTCTTGTCTCTCATCCCCTGATTACTGGTGTGTGTATTTAAGCCCTGTGTGTTTTCCTGCCTGTTGCCGGTTCATCTGTGTTCCTCGGTGTCAGTCTGTGTTCCTCGGTGTCAGTCTGTGTTCCTCGGTGTCCTGCTCGTCTCTCTGCCTCGCTTCCCTTTTTGTTTCATCTCAGGTTTGTCATTTAGCTTTCCCAGTTCAGGTCTTTAGTTTTGTCTTCCCTCTTGCCTGTTTTGCCTTCTCACCACTGTGTAAATAAACTCACCGGCATCTCATCCACTGCCTGCATCTTGGGTCCTTCTTCTAACTCCACACGGCTCGCCTCGGCAGCCGGGACAGTACGAACTGGCCACTATGGACCCAGCAGCATTCAACCCGCCCAAGGAGCTCCGGGAGGACATTGTTTACTCCGTGGACAAATTAATTAACGCGTGGCTGGAGCACGAGGGGAGAGAATTTCGCCAAGCCGTGGCTAATCGGCTACAGCGCTTGGTTTCTGGTCTCCCCTGGCTGCTCAGCTCACTTCACCCGCTCGCACAGAATTTCATTCTGAACGGACTCCGTCTTCACCCTCCGGCTGCTACCACCCACCCTGCAACTCATGCTTCACTGCCCGGTCCGACAGAGGATGTTCTGCCCGGCCCGTCAACCCAGCCTTCAAGGGGGAAACGGCGCTCACGCTGCCGACGCTCCTCGCCACAGTCGGACCTGGGGATTTCCGAGCGGCCAGCTGTGGTGAGTGGACAGGACAGTATTGTTGGTCTGAACTGTGGGACCGTTTACTCAGGGGTGATGTTCTGTACGGCACAGGACAAAAACTGTTTATCGCCTGAAGCTCAGTTAGCCGCCCGGCCAGAAGCTCAGTTAGCCGCCCGGCCAGAAGCCCAGTCGCCACCTCCGCCACATTCAGCCTCACAATCCAGAGCTCAATTACAGTCACAGCCGGACTTATTACAAACCATGTTACAATCCATAGCCCGGTCTGTAGCTCAGTTGGCAGAAGAATCATCAGCTTTATCCTCCGTTCAGTCTCCAACTTCACCACCGTTGTCATCACAACCATTATGTCAGTCACCTTCAGTTCAGCCTCCTGTTCAGCAGCCACCAGCCCTGCATCCTGTGTCAGTTGCTTCACCTGTAAAACAATATAAGTCAATTCTACCCGAAAGACACTATTCCTCGCCCATCCATTCCAAGCAGAGAGACAAATCTAATAATAATGTCAACATTCCTCAAAGGCTGGCCAGTTCTGAGACTGAGATGCACTCCAGGGCCTCCCCAGAGGCTGGGTTTCAGCCCCCATCAGACTCTGGACCCCTGGAGTTTAAGAAGCCAGCTGAGGACTGCACCCGGCTGTCGCTGCCTGAGCAGGGTCAATGCTCTGCGCAGCTGCAGGCCGCTATGTGTTTGCCAGAGGCCCGTGTGCCTGCTGGTCCTGTTGCGTTCCTGCCAGAGGCCCGTGTGCCTGCTGGTCCTGTTGCGTTCCTGCCAGAGGTCTCCACACCTGCTGGTTCTGTTCTGTGTGTGCCAGGGGCTCCAGTGCCCACTGGTTCTGAGACTGTTTTTGCTGGGGGCCCGAGGAGCCCGTCCAGCGTCCTGCCTCGTCAGCTGGGGGGCCCGAGGAGCCCGTCCAGCCTCCTGCCTCGTCAGCTGGGGGGCCCGAGGAGCCCGTCCAGCCATCATCTGCAGTCTCATCACCCTCGCCTGCTGCGGCCTCTGAGTCTTCAGCCTCGCCTGGTCCGGTTTCAGCATCTGCTTCAGCATCGCCTGGTCCAGCCACTGCTTCATCCTCGTCTGGTCCGGCTCCAGCATCCTCATCAGCTGCTTCGCCTGGTCCGGCCTCCGCTTCTGCATCCTCATCAGCTGCTTCGCCTGGTCCGGCCTCCGCTTCTGCATCCTCATCAGCTGCTTCGCCTGGTCCGGCCTCCGCTTCTGCATCCTCATCAGCTGCTTCGCCTGGTCCGGCCTCCGCTTCTGCATCCTCATCAGCTGCTTCGCCTGGTCCGGCCTCCGCTTCTGCTTCAGCCTCTTCGCCTGGTCCAGCCTCCGCTTCTGCTTCAGCCTCTTCGCCTGGTCCAGCCTCCGCTTCTGCTTCATCATCCTCGTCTGATCCAGCCTCCGCATCCTCATCATCCTCATCAGCGTCGCCTGGTCCAACTTCAGCTTCAGCATCAGCATCGCCTGGTCCAGCTTCTGCTTCAGCGTCCTCATCAGCTTCGTCTGGTCCAGCCTCCACTTCGCCTGGGGCTGCAGGGGCCACGCAGCCTTCAGGTCCCCTACTACCACCTCCACATCGTCGGTCATCTGCCGGGCCGCTTGTTGGGCATCTCCGCCACCGTGGACGCCCTCCTGAATGCCCTCCTGAACGCCCTCCTGAACGCCGCCACTGCCTTCCGCGTGGCCGGCCTCCAGACTTGTTTCCACGCCGCTGTTGCCGTCCGCACGGTCGGCCCCCAGGACTGTTTCCACGCCGCTGTTGCCATCCGCACGGTCGGCCCCCGGAACTGTTTCCACGCCGCTGTTGCCGTCCGCACGGTCGGCCCCCAGAACTGTTTCCGCGCCACTGCCTACTGCGTGGCCGGCATCCGGACCTGCCCCGCTGCCATTCGCATGGTCGGCCTCCTGAACTTGGCCATCTGGGCCTTTTTGGACTCTGTCCCTCCGTCCTGGGCCCCCTCCACCTGCCCTGGTCGGGTCCTTTTCTGTTTTGTTTTGGTCTGTTTTTGTGTTTCTGCTGGGCTGTCTGGGGCCAGCCCTTGAGGGGGTGGGGGGGTACTGTCATGGTCCTGGGTCGGTGACCCAGCGCTTTTAGTTTGTTATCATTTTCTAGATGATTGTTTAGGTTCTGTGTTATATTCGGTCTGCCTCTGAGTCTGCGTCTGTATCTGTCTATCTATGGTGTCACCCCATCTGTTTGTGAATCTGTCTGTTTAGTTCAATGTCTTGTCTGGTTCCATGTGTCTGAGTTTCCTGTTTTATTGTGAAGGTCCGTGTCGTATGTGAGTGTGATCAGTTTACGTTTCCCCTGTCCCGTCAGCCCAGATTCCTCCCAGCTGTGTTGCCCTCTTGTCTCTCATCCCCTGATTACTGGTGTGTGTATTTAAGCCCTGTGTGTTTTCCTGCCTGTTGCCGGTTCGTCTGTGTAACTCCGTGTCAGTCTGTGTTCCTCGGTGTCCTGCTCGTCTCTCTGCCTTGCTTCCCTTTTTGTTTCATCTCAGGTTTGTCATTTAGCTTTCCCAGTTCAGGTCTTTAGCTTTGTCTTCCCTCTTGCCTGTTTTGCCTTCTCACCACTGTGTAAATAAACTCACCGGCATCTCATCCACTGCCTGCATCTTGGGTCCTTCTTCTAACTCCACACGGCTCGCCTCGGCAGCCGTGACAGTTGTGAGGTATGTGGTATGGTATGTGACAGATGGATTCAAGGCACAGGTAGTATGGCACTAGGGATGGACTCTGAACTCCATGGACTATGATGTTTGCAGATGACATTGTGATCTGTGTAGTGATAGGAGAGAGCCTGGAGAGGTGAAGGTATGCAGTGGAAAGAAGTGGAATGAACAGAGGAAAAGGTGAACATGCAGGAAAATAGTGTTGGTAGGCGAGTTTAATGGCATGAACAATCCAAAGCAACATACAGTGTCCATGAGAGGTGAGGAAGAGAGTGCAAGCAAGGTAGAGTGGGTGCAAATAAACATCAGTGATGATTTGTGACAGAAAGACAGCAGCTATTATACAAAATAGCTGCTGTCTTTCTCTCTCTCTCTCTTTCTCTCTCTCTCTTTCTCTCTCTCTCTCTTTCTCTTCCCAGCTGTGTTCCCCATGTGTTTTCGCTTCCTTCCTCAGTCGTTGTCAGGTCATTTGTTTACCATGTATCATGTTCCAGGTATTCATGTTTCTCAACTCCAGGTTTTCATGGTTTTAGGTTACTGTTTAGTTTAGTTTCACCGGCCTTATTAAACAGCTAGCTTTCTGTTAAAACCAGGTTTTGCTTTACGTGTCTGCTTTTTTGGTCTACAACACTAACTCCAATCAGTCTGCAAGATCAGACTCTAAGAGAAGGAGAGCTCAGGTTGAGCAGTTTGGAGACAGAGGCAAGGCTGAGATGGTTTGGAATTCATACATGCACTGGAGCGATCGACCTCACACAATACCAGCAGAAACAAATTTTCTCCATCCCATTTTTTGCCTCGGGTGCTTTTCAACATTTTTCAGACTGTTTTCTTTTCGCAGCCTTAAAAAGTGGAGTTCACAGCAAAATGGCTGAAGAGTGGAGAAACTTCCACAATTTTTGATTTTAAGAATGAACACAGCAACCTTTTATAAGGAATCGAGACATTATATATTTACACAGGAATAATCCTCAAAATTTGTTATTTTTTCTTCGGTCTTGGACGTTTTATGTGATGAGCATGTTGGTCCCAGGGACAGAATTAATAATTTAAATAAGCACGAATGAGCTATTGTGAATCCTATAGATTATTTGTAACAGTTAACGTACGTTTAATGTTGTATGTTTAATGTAGAGCTATTGTTTTTAATTGTATTGTTTTCTTGTTTATGGGTCTTTTTTGTCTTTCATGTTCATGAAAGAGTAGCAACTCTATTGCAGGAGCTAATGCAGCTCTTAATAAACTAAACTAAACTAAACGAATCATTTATGGACGTCAGAGACAGAAGTCTTAAAAGCGGCTCATTTTTTTATTTTAATGATTTGATTTGTTCTAATATCATGAAGGAGGTCTTTGTTTTTGTTCGGACAGTGCATTTACATTAATAAACTTTAAAAACAAACAAACTAATTATTATTGGTTTTATTGATGTGTGTGTTTGTTTTCAAAACAAAGAGAAGTAGAAGGCAGACATTTAACACAAATGAGATTTATTCTTTATACAGTGTAATTTGTGTTAATCCACTACTTCTTTTTTTTTTTTTTTTTTTTGCCTGTCCCATTTGGTTCTTTAGCCGTCAGAATTGTTGTCTGAGGACCAACAAGGATACCCAGTGGATTTACTTTGCCAAATGGATCATCACGGCCTTGCCGTATTGGTCCATTTGATCAACCTTTGTTGTTATTATTTATTTTATTTTGTTTTCAGTTTTCAGACGGGACAGACATGACTGAGGGATAGGAAAGGGAGAAAGAAAGATGAAGGGAAAGAAAAACAGAAGGGAAGACAGACAGTGAGAAAGGGCACTTAAAAAGAGAAAGAAGAGAAAAAAAATCTCCTGGATCACCTGTTGAGAGAAAAAGAAGAGAAAACAAGCAAAAAAAACCCGAAAACAGAGCAACGCACTAAACACAACACCATCACGTTAATCTAGCTAAGTGTAAACAGCAGTAAATACTAAATATTGAATGTTGTTGTGCAGCACGTAGGACCGACAGCGCACAATGTGCCCGAGGGCCTCCTTTGCCCCGGGAGAGGCCTGACCGAGTAACAGGCACCAGGCCCGCCAAGTAGTCAATGGGAGTGAGCTGGTACATACCTGAGCGCCCAGCCCCGGACACCAAGAACCACCAACGCACCGACCCCTGAGGGCATCAGTTACCGGCAGGGAGTGTGGTGAGGGGAGATAGGCCTTTGGAGGGCCTGGGACTACTAAAAGAACTTTTGTGTTACAGCACAGCTCATGAGATCACACTGTGCTGTCCATGGTCCTGAAATTATAATATAACCTTATTAAAGAGAGTTCTTCTTTCCCAGTGTTGCCAAGTGTTCTCTCATACAGGTTGGGGTTTTCTCTCTAATAATGTAGGGACTTACCTTACAATATCAAGCACACTAAGGTGACTGCTGTGAACATACACTTCATAAGTAAAACTGAAGTGAACTAAACAGTGATTCAGGAAGTGGCTGTGTACAGTATTTGTGAAGCAGTCCTGGTTGTTGAAATGACATTTGTTCGTTTTTGCTTCTTTTGTAAGCTCACTTTTTGAGTCAAATGTTTTACAATGATATGATTTTGTAGCAGCCGCTCAATAGCGTTTAGACGATTCTATTTTCTTAGTGTTGATTGGAAAACATAGATTGTCCATCGGTGTATTTATTTTCTCAGTGTCAGTCAGACTGTGATTGCACACAATTTTAATTCTTTTGCTCTTCTCATTCTGCACAGCAAAAGAGATCTTGATAACAGCTCGATAGTCTCTGACAAGCAGCCAGGCTCTATAAAAGCATCAACCTGTCTGTGATGTGAGCAGCAGTATATTTAACTGGTGGCTCTTTGACTCCGCTTACGGTCTCCTCAGTGTTGTAAATTTTTTGGTCTAATGATTTTTGCTTAGTTATGAATCAAAATATGCTGGATTTTGACACGAGAGTGTGTGTACAGGGGTGTCATCAAATATAAGTCACGCTGTGACTGAGATGGCTTTTATACTAGGATGCCATTAGAAAATAATCGTAGTTTAGAATAATCTTATAATATATAATAATAATAATATAATAATCTTACTTTAATTTATGATAGACTTAAAAACTCTTTAGTAAAAGGAATGAACAAACAATGAGGGAACACAATTAGAAGTAATTTATAGTGTTCACATAAAGACACATGGTGAGGTAAACGATCTAAGCTGGAAGGGGAGTTGTTCCCGTGCTGTAGATTACTCTCTAGTATGAAATTTTAATACATTTATTGATATCCAGATATTCTGCTTTTATTTGACCCTGTGAGGCCTAATTCCTCATCAGTACTGAGACGTCTGATTGTAAGTTATGAAGATAAACAGCTAGTATTTTTTTTCAAACAGGATCTGATTTGTGTTCTTTGTTAAATCATTATAGCTAGTAAGAGTCTGCCAACTGTTGTTCAACTTTCCTGAACAAGCTGTGTGGGAAAAAGAAGAAGCAAGCCTCTGCAAGAACATATATGTAACCAAAAGCTCTATAAATAATCCTACATTGCAAATGTGGCTCCATGTTAAAGTTGTAGTATATACATCACTTGATGAAAGCCAAAAGTCAAAATGTGTTGGTCATTGAAGTTCTACGGGTGTCCTACCGTCCTCCTCAGTGGTCCAGCAATACATCTTTTCTGTTTAGCTGGTGGAGTGATGCTGAGGTAGGTGAAATACAGTATGTTTCTGTACATGTAAGAGTCAAGAGTCTATTGGCAGTATTTTCAGCCATCTGCTGTAATCCAGTCTGGATGCAAGAAAAGCATGGACAACCTCTCAAAGTCGTTAAAACAAAGCGGTTTACCCTTTTCCAAAAGTCTTTATTGAAAAAAAAAAAAGACTTTGAACACAGATCTTTCAAAACAAAATAAAAACAAGGTTCCTACATGAGATTTACAGTATTATGCACAGATCTGAGGTATGAAGTAATGCTCAGGAATGAAACCAGCTGGTTGGCAGCAAGTGGGAATAACAACCAAGTTTTCTGTTTGATCTGAGTGAGGACATTTTTGCACATTTACTCACTTACAACACATCACGGCCAGTGAGCAGCACTGCAATCATGGATGTGTTTAAATATTTTAAGATGAGATATTTCTACTTCAACTGGCTTAAGAAACTTTGTTTGTTTTCAATGATTTGAAAGGTTACACTGGCTGGTGTAACATGAAAACATATGTTGCACATACAGAAACTTATGCTCCTATCCAGACAACATCTTTTTAAGGCAAGGC